TTCGCTCAATAGGGGATGGATGTAATTGGTCCTTTGCCTCCAGCTGCATCACAAAAAAGGTATGTCTTATTAACAACTGATTATTTCACTAAATGGGTGGAAGCAGAAACGTATGCAAGCATAACTAACGTTCAGGTGAGGAAGTTCATCTGGAACAACCTAATATGTAGGTTTAGGATCCCACGATTAATCATTATGGATAATGGCACGAACTTGAGCAATCAATATACTCAGCGGTTCTTTGACAAGTATGGGATCAATAAAAAAAATGTCAGCTGTGTACCATCCACAAGGTAATAGGCAAGCCGAAATAACCAATAGGATGATTTTTTCCTACATCAAGAAGAAGCTCGAAGAGAAGAAGGGAAAATGGCTAGATGAGTTACAAACGTCTTCTGGGCATATTGGACCACCCTGAGACATCTAACGAGAAAGACATTAATAAGTGCTGAAATACGCATATATTTAACCCCAATCTCGGGTATTTTAGACGTTTCATCTATCTTTACTTTCCTGTTTTAGTCCTAATTTGTGTTTTTGTCTGTTTTAAGTCAAAATGATCAAACAGGCTAAAAATACTTCATTAAACCCCTTTTAGAGTCAAGCAAAAGTTTATGAAAAAATTCAAAAATAGTCCAAAAAAATGGTCATAGCCCATTTTTGCATAAGCTGCAATCGTTTGCACTGCCACGTCATCGATCACAAGCCACATCATCATTTTGGCAAAAGCCATATCAACATTCACACTTATTCACGATCGTTCGCAATGCAATTGTGATCAATCGCATTGCCACGTTAGCACCTGAGTCAGCAAATGGATAATCCTTATCATCAAGGACAGCTCAGCACGATCAATCATAGGGACATTGTGATCAATCGCAACAATGTCCGATCGATCACAAATTGCCCTGATAGCCTATTTTAAGCTCAGTTTTTGCCGAATCTTCACATACCAAATGGCTACGGGATTGCATCATTTTTGGGGCATATTTTTGACCTATTTTGGGCTCTAAGGGTCTTATATAAAAGGGGAATTGAACCATTTTATAAGGGGTTAGCTTTTATATTATTAGATTACCTTTAGTTTTGTAGAAAACTCTCTCTAGAAATTAGGGTTTTGAAGTGGAGGCAAGAAGATCTCTAGAAGGACCATTTCTCTAGGGTTTCAAGCAATAAGAAGAAAAGGAAGAAGATGAAGCATGGCATAGGGATGGATCTAGAGCACTCCTTGATGATATCTACACCCTCCATGAATGGCTGAACTTCTTCTTAGGGCTTACATGAGCCATAAGCTTGTAATCTAAAATCTTGTCTTTTAAATTTTGGGGATTTATATATTATAATTTATGTTACAGTCTTGAGTAATGAAGTTTTGGCTTTCCTATGATTTCTATGGTTAATTCTTCCTATTGATTTTCTATGTTGGTTGCATGTTGTCTTATGTGTGATTAATTGAAAATCAATCTTTATACTAAATACTTTTTGTATTTGTGTTTAGTGATGGCTATGCATGGTTTTTGTTAGATGCATTTATTAATTAATTTGATGGATTATGCTTAGACTTGATGGATTGTACTACACCTTTAGTTTAATTGCATGTTTCAATTGTAGTTTAATTATAGTTAAGTAGACAATCCATGCTTGTATTTGATATCCATGCTTATTATTGCAAATTACATTATCGTCTTTATTAATGTGTGCTACAATTGTTGATTAGTTAGATAGATTATGCTTAGGTTTGATGAGTTTCATTACACCTTAGTTTACTTATCATTAGGTAGACAATTCATGATTACAATATAATGTTTTCCTCAATTAGTTAAAAGCAAATAGTTTAATGAATGAGCTTAGTGGTGAATCCTATACCCTAAGACTCCTTTCCTATCTCTTAAACTCTACTCATTTTAGCTTCATTTGCATTGCATGTTTTAAGTTTAATTGTAGTTTAATCAAACCAAACTAACTCTCTTTTCAATCTCATTAACACTAAAGTTGAAATTGATTCTAACACGTGTTCAATCCCTGAAGACGATCCCTTATCAATATACTTCAATGTATAAGTGTTAAGCGGCTTTTATAAATAGTAAAATTTGATGCCCACTTAGCACATTCATAATTCTAAATATAAGTACACAATTTTAGTGCACAGGCCCAAGTCTCATCAAGTTTTTGGCGTCGTTACCGGGGATTGACGGTTTAGTTAGAGTCAAATTAGGCATTAGTGCTCATTTGGTTGCTTACTTTAACTTTACTTTTTTCTTATTCTTTGTTACTTGTGCAATTAGGTACTTGAATACAAGAGGGGCAAGCATTGGATCTTGACGTTGTTGCTCGGGAACTTTGTGAGTTTTTCTTTAAATTCTTGCACCGTAATTGTTCACATCTTTATATGCTTATGAGATAGTCCTTGTTGAGGCAATCACATTGTTACATTCTTGTTGAGGCCATTACTTTAATTGCTATATCATGGGCCCTAGTCGAGGTCATATAATTTATGCATTGATAAATTATGGAGAACGGGAACATCATGTGTGGAGGTTAAGATTTGTTGTTGATTGTAGTGGTATGTTGTGAAGTTGTTGTGGTTTGTTGTGTATGTATGGTAGAAGGTCTCTTAATACCCTCTCATCCCTCTAAATCAAGATCTTGAATCATCGATTTGGCGATTCAGAGGTAGTTCTAGTAAAATTCTCCCCACTTTTGTCCACCACATCACTTCAATGGAATAACAAATTGAGAATCTTGGTTATGTGGATCCTTAAGGTGTGCATCCATCCTTAGGAATACCATAACCTAATAATGTGTAACAACCTCTTTTAGGAATGCCAAGGCCCAATATTGTTCCACCACCCGATGGTGTGCGACAACCTCCATTTGTGCAAATCCCTCCTGGAGCTCATGTAGTGTATCCTCCCAATCCTCTTGACGACGACGAGGTCGTCGCTCGCATACGTCAAAATATGTGTGTGAGAGTGGTTCAAGAAAGCCTTCTTGGTCAAATTTAAATTTATAAAAACCACCACCACTACTACTACTGACATAGTAAGAAGCGAGTAGGGATTGTCCTAAGGGATTTGCAAGGTAATCGGAATCAAATTTGGGTTAGTATGTCGATTGATCAAAGAGAGTGGTTTGTTGGTTGAATTAAACTACAATTCAATTAGAAACATGCAAAGTAAACAAGCTAAAAGTATTAGGGTGTAGAGAATGAGAGAGAGGTCTTGGGACATAGAGTTTACCACTAAGCTTTACCTTTCTAAACATCTAGCATTTGTCAATTTAGGGGGATTCAATGTTGTAAAACAAATGTGTGTGCCAACAATTAAAATAATAAGCATGGTTGACAAAACAAGTATAAATTGTCTACCTAAGCTAGTGTGTAGCAAAACTCATCAACCTAAGCCATTAACCATTCAATAAACCCACAATTGATGCACACAAAAATCTAGAGAAATGTATTACTTGCAATCATAAGAATGGATCATCAAACACAAGTATGGATTGTCTACTTATCTAGGAATTTAAAGACAACTACACTATAATTATATTAATGACAAGGAAATTAAACTAATTAAGATAATGAAGTTGAACAACCCATCAAGCATAAGTATAGTCCATCAAACAAATCACAAGAGTAACCAATAAGCCTCATGCCTTGACCATCATTAAATTCACAATTCCAACACACATAAACATGCATCAAATATGTAGAATCTAATGTAAAGACATAATCATCCATCCCATCATACATAGACATATGAATTAAATAAAAGACTAATTGAAAGAATTAATTCATACAAATCATGTAGAAACTCAAGATTTATATATAATCATAGGTTAAAACATCATTTACAACAAGAATCCCCTAAAAATAACAAAATACTAAAGTTTAGAAGGCAAGCCCAGGGCTATCTCTAGCCCAAAGAGGATGATTTAGCCACTCATGGTTGTTGTTGTCCAACCCTCAAGGGCTTTCTTCAATGTTAGCTCCATCTTCTTCCTCTTGCTTTGCTCCTCAAAAACCCTAATCTAGAAAGAAAAAGTTATGTCTAAGTTATGAACAATTTTGTTAAAAATTGGGAACCTAACAAAATGGTCCAATTTGATTTAAATACAAGCCTCCTTGAGTAGGCAATAAGTCAGAAAATAGGCATTTTATTGGTCTAATCCAGCAGCTACAAAGGTTAAAGGAGTTCGAGCATGCTCGGGAATAAAATAGCTCACTGCTAGTGGGATCTTTAATCAATCGAAGAAGGCTTCGATGCATCGAAGATAACTTCAATCGATCGAAGATAATGTGGCAAGAAAATATCTTCTGTTAGCCTTATCCTTTGCTGAGCTAGCGCTGACGTGGCACTTCGATGTATCGAAAAGACTTCGATCGATCATAAAGCTTCGATCGATCATAAAGTACCTTCGATCGATCGAAAGTACTCCAGTAGACTTTTTTTGACTTTTTCTAGATTTTCTTCTTAACTCCAAAAAGGAGCTAATAGGCTCTTTTTAGCCTGTTTAAACCTTATCAAACTGAAATAGACAAAAATATGAATTAGAACTAAAATGAGAAAGTAAGATAGATTAATAGACTAAAATGCCTAGCTTAAGTGCTAAAATGTGCAACATTTGAGCACTTATCACCTCCAAAGGTCCTTCGAAATCATTACACTCCAAATGAATACAATGTACCGATATATATCCGATTACCAAACTTTTGAGCTCACCATTATGAGATTAAAGCTTCAACCATCCAAATGTGCCCCCTATTCTATGGGTTGAGCAATGAAGAACCATATAAACACTTGGATGAGTTTTTAAAAGTTTATTCAACCGTGAAAATCACAGATGATACCGAAGGAAGTTTAAAAATGAAGTTTTTCCCTTTCTCTCTTCGAGACAAGGAAAAATATTAGTTTAATAACTTGGGGGCGAATACAATCACATCTTGGGGTCAATTGCAACAAGAATTCTTAAAAAAATATCGCCCCATAAGTAGGACCAGTACAATGAGAGCTTCCATCCGTGAATTTTCCCAATTGGATGGAGAGCCTTTGTATGAAGCATAGGAGAGTTTGAATGATTCGCTACGGAAGTGTCCACATCATGGCCTTCCTAAGTGGCCACTCGTTCAGTACTTCTATGAAAGCTTAACCGAGGTCAATAAGGGTATTGTTGATGCTTCATGTGGAGGCACATACTTGGAAAAGAATGAAGACGATATTTGACATCCTTTTGAAAACATAAGTGAAAATTCAATGCATCGTTCTTCATCTTTTAGGTTGGGCCGAAATTCAAATGTGGGAGGAAAGAGAAACCCCACTATATGTCAAGTGAACAATTCCATGGAGATCGCCGCTGAGGTAAATGGTGTGGTTGGCACACACCAGCTAAAAGTGTGGTAAAATGTGGCCAAGTTTGAATTTATAGAATGCCACTACCACTACTAACTATTAATGTAGCTAGAGTAAGAAGGGATCGTCCCAAGGGAAATGAAGCATATTCTTAGAATTAGTGATGGATTAGTAGGTCGAATGATCAAAAGGGAGTTTGTGGTTGAATTATACTACAATTTAAACTAAATAAATGAAATGTAAAACAACTAAAACAATATGAGGTGTAGAGAATATGAGAAGGGAGTCTTGGGTCATAGAGTTCACCACTAAGCATTACCTTCCTAGACATTCAATATTTGATGGATTAGGGGGGTTGTGTGTTGTAAATGAAGGTGTATGGCATTAATTGAAATATCAAGCATGGATGGCCAAAAAAGCATACATTGTCTAGTCAATCCAGTGAATAGCATAACATATCAAATTAAGCCATTAATCCTTCCATAAGTCAACAATTAATGCACACTCATTAAATTAGAGAATTATAATACTTGCATTCATAAGTAAGGAACATCAAACAACAAGCATGGATTGTCCACCTATCTAAGAAAGTAACGCAATTACACTACAACTAAGCTAATGACATGAAAATTAAACTAATTAAACTAAGGAGGTGCCACAATCCATCAAGAAATAAGTATGAACCATCAAATAAACCACAAGAGTAATCCATTTAAGTACCATGCCTTGATCATCACTAGATTCATAATATCAACACACATAGGTATGCATCAATGTCACAAAATCTGGAGATAAACACATGAATATTAATTCTAGTATACATAGACATATGGATAGAATTAAATGATCAATTGGAAGGTTTAAACTACACAAATCATTGTAAAAATAAGATTTATATATATAAGATGTCAAGACAAGAGTTACAACACAAATCAAAGTTTAGGAGGCATGCTTAGGGAAATCTCTAGCCCCAAGAGAATTGTTTAGCCACTCATTGATGTTGTCATCCAACCCTTAAAGTCTATCTCCATGGTCGAAAATCATCCTCTTCCTCTTGTGCTCTTGGTAGAAACCCTAAATGAGTGGAAGAACTTTTCCAAATTGTGTATTTCTCTCTCTAATCTCTAGCCAAGTCTCTCTTTCTAATCAACCTCTATCCAACCTCTACACTCAAAATAGACAAAATCCTTATATAGGTAGCTCAAATGTCACACCCAATGGTCAGACCACGTGCACTAGGACTTCCAAATGATTGCACCACGTGCACACCTTCAATTTGGCTTGAAATATGTTTTTCACGCAACTTAAGGCAATTCGATCGATCACAAGGTTGCTCGGATCGATCGAACTATGGTGGCATACTTTTTAGATAAGGACAAAGCTAAGATATTTTTGGGAAAAGGACAAAAGTGGTAGGTGAGGATAAGATCAAAAGGGTTAGATCGATCGAAGGAAAGGTTGGATCGATTGAATAGGAAATTTTCCTAAAGATAAGCACAAAAGGCTTGATCCATCATAACAGGGTTGGAACGATCACAGTATAATCAATCGGAGCTTAGTTCAATTGATCGGAGAAGGCTTCTTCACCACTTTGTTTCCACTTTGCTCCTTTCTTCCACTAGGCTTGAGATTGCTTCTTTTAATACTCTAATTAAACTAAATTGACTTATTTTGGGGATAAGTGCCTGAAAAGGGAAATAACATGAAATTAGACTAAAGTGGGAAAAAAAGATGAATAAGGTCCTAGAACATTCACGATTAAGGGGTTTAAATGCGCACTTTTCAGCGCTTATCACACCCCCAAATTAAATATTGCTAGTCCCTAGCAATGAACTACGAAGAAAATAAAGAAATGAACAACTATACAACTTTGAACTAGAAAGAAATAAGTGGATAACGCAACTTTCGTAGGGAACACGATTGCATTTAGCGCATGCAACAAGTCTTTTAAACCCCTAGGTTAGCCTTAGTGGACGAGTGAAGTCTTGTGAGGGTTTCCAGAAATGATACCCATAAACATTAAGCTCTTTCTCACTAAAGAGGCACCAATATTCCAAACAAGCATTGGGAGAAAACTACCTCAAGTATGTAATTTTTCAACAATTTCCAAGCAATCTCCTAAAATCTCAACATCAAGCAAGCAAATATGGTCCTCTACACATCAAGACAATGTTCATGCAAATCAAAACAACTATAGAATCCTTTTTAAGTGAATCAGCATCAAATATGTTGCTATCTAAGCCGACTAAAGAAATTATCACATCCGGCCTCAAGCTAGCACACAAATCTAGTACCAATCATCAAGACAAAGAATAAAACCTTTTATTAAAGCTTTATTCAACTAGGTGCGCTTATTCTTTTCACTCAATTTTTTTTTTCTAATCCTAAGGATCAAAGATGGAAGCATAGTGCAATGTGTTGATCTATTAAGCTTTCTAGCGATCCATGAGGTCGAGCGTTAGGTCAATGACTCCCAAACCGAACGGCTTTAGGGCATTAGGTGTTTAAACACCCCTAAGGACTTACAAGCTCAAATCAACTAAGTTACAAATCAAAACAACCTCCATCTAATCATTTACCACTTTTCACCTTTTGGGAGAAGTCCTCACTTTTTTCTTTTTCTTTTTTTTAAGTTATTAACCTAGAGTTTGGGCCCTCCACCTTTCAGCGCAAGAAATTCAGTGCTTGATGAGACTAGAGTCCCGGCTGCTTAGTGAAAAGGGTTTGTTATCCACCTTTATCAAGAATGAAAGGTTTTAATGCACTACTAGCTCAATTGGGATATAACCAAATCAATAATCAATAAAGCATGTACCCCACAAATGAATGCTAGCGTGCGCCTGTGTTAGTGTAGCATCCTAGAGTGAATCTCAAAACAATCACAAAATCTGGATGATGTGGACCACAAATGCAAGCATGATATCAATCTTTCAAAAAATTTACTCCTCAATGGCATCCACAAGGCAATCAAGGAGTATTAGACTCTCAAGTCAAGTAATTTTTAAATTCTAAGTAATATAGTCCTCAAAAGATCAAAATCATAGCTAGTCATGGACCAATCATAGAAAATCCCTTAAGTACACAAGTCATGCTCAAAATCTTGAATTGAATGCAAAGAACACACATTACCCCCGAAGACGTAAACTGCACAATGTCCTCAGTGTGCAAAGAGAGCAAAAGAAAGAGGAAAGAGTATGCCAGTGCAACTATGGCGATGAATGGTGGTGTGACGACCCTGGTTTTTCATGCCAGTGCGTCCTGTGATGAACCGAAGATTGACCCAATAGCGGATCTAGATGCGGAAGCAAGAAATAAGACAACGGTGTCCCAAGGCACAACACACCTTTAAGACACTTTGATGACCTTCCATGAGGTCCTGGAACTCAATGAGAATTGACGCGGAAGAAAAAGATAGGAAAAATAGCAATTAAGCTCCTAGGGGCAAAATAGTCATTTTACATGAAAATGACGTCCCTAGAATTTATATCATTCCCAAGACACATCTGTGGCTTCCCATAAAGTCATGGAACTCAAAAGAAAGTAGTAGAAGCTGAAAGCAAGAAAAACCAGACAAAAATAGCCCCAAGGGTAAATAGTCATTTTTGAAAATATGGACTCGAATGCCACCGAGCACACCACTGGAAATACAATGAAAAACTAATCAATATGGACTCAAGAGTTGCATGATTCAAAATCCGAACGAAGGAGAAACGGAAAAACAAAGAAAAACGAGCACTTAAGGCTAAAAGGGTAAATTGGTAATTTTTTAGGAAGATCCAGGTGCAACCGAGCACACTGTTGGAAAAATAGTGAGAAATTAGTCAAGTTAAAAAAAAAGTTGACTCAATTTAGAGTCTGGACGAAGGAGAACGAGTGAAAATAAAAATTGAAGTCACGATGTCGAGACGAGGCACCACAAGCACCCCACGAGCATCATGACATGCTAGGGGAAAAAAAAAATTCAGCCAGAACTGAGAACCGAAACGAGGTCCGAAATGAATTTTTATGGAAAAACACAAAGAAGAAACCCCTCTTAAAATCGAGTTTTCTACCCGATCGCATGGAAGGAAATAGAAAAAAACTCACGAAAAAATCCCCAAAATGCCCTTAGATCAGAAGAGGTCAAGAGGGCCAAAGAGCTGCTACAGTAACTGTCCACATCTGAGAGCAAAACGGGCTATCAAATGAATTTTTATGGACAAACACGAAGAAGAAACCCCTCCCAAAATCAAATTTTCTACCTGGTTATATGGGAGAAAATGAAAAAAAATACACTGTGAAATGGCAAAAATACCCCTAGATTAGAAAAGGCTTAAAAACTCAAAAAAATGCAACTTTGCACCAAGTATGCATTTGACCCTAAATGCATTTCTAGGTTGAAAAAAATGTGCACTCAAGTGTAATAAATGATTCTAAGCACACGGGAATGGTCCACGGCTCCCGAGAAACCCCGACTCAAAATTTGACCCCCCGACGGCCAAAAATGATAAAAATGAACTTGGAATCAGAATTTTGAAAACTAAAGATATAAAATAAAGTCAAATTACCATTTAGCCCTTGGTCACATTTCATACAAGATTAATGAGACTATATGAAAGAATAAAAATGGAATTCCCACACCCGATGCAAAAGTAATGAAGCAATGACTTATGAATTTTCAAGGTTTTAATAACATTTCATGAAATCAAGAATTACATAAGATGCAATACAAATGTCATTGACCTCTGGCCTCATCTCACATAAGTCAAATACATTGTAA